ATAGTTATTTATAATATTATAATTATGTAATCACTACTGAGCTCAGTCATGTAGTAGATGATCTCTTTGATATTAATAATTTTCTTATGTTTTTGTTTTTAATTTGCTTCGTGTTCTGTGTGCCATTAATGCAAATCTTACCTTTATCTTGTTCTCCTTTTTTAAAAGAGCTTTATTGTGATGTAATCTCCACACCCATATGATTCAGCCATGTACAGTGTAGAATTCAGTAGTTTTTAGTTATTGACAGGATTGTACAGACATAGTCACAATCTAATCCTAGGACATTTTCATTACTGCAGAAAGAAGCTGCTTATTTAACCTTTTAGGATTTGTCCTCAACTTGATCCTCAATTTGCTATTTAGCGTTTAATTTCTAACTCATTTTGTTCTATGAATGTTTCTTTGTAGTATCTGTTCCTTCATGCTTGTATACTTTTTTTGATTTTTATCAAAATATTAATGATATTGATCACAGATCAATGAGATTAGGAATGTCAGTGAATATCAATGAAATTTTGAAGGGGCTTTATATGTATTCTTTTTTTTTTGGTACTGGGGATCGAACTTGGGACCTTGCTTTTGCGAGGCGGGCACTGGAACCACTGAGTTAAATCCCCAGCCCTCTGTGTATTCTTTTCTCTGAGGTGCTTTTTTTGGTCTCTTTCTAGTTAGAAGCTTTTTTCAGGTGTTTAATATGTCTTTTCTTTTTTGGTACCGGGGATCGAACTCAGGTCCTTCTGCTTGCAAGGCAGGTGCTGGAACCACTGAGCTAAATCTGCGGCCCAAGTGTTTAATATTTCTTGATGTTATTTACAAATAGGAAACTGAAAAACATTAAAATACCTAGATAGGGGCTGGGGATTTAGATAGGTCTTTAGGAAACTCTTGGGCTGATCACAGTCCTAGAGATGACCACCCTGTTGCCTAGATTGTACAGGCCTGTCTAGGAACCTGTGAACAAAGTTAGGAGTGGAAAGGCTGGTGGATCTCAGCCTGGAGCATAGTCATTTGTTCACTTAGCTCTCCTCTGGTACTTTCAGAATGTCACTCCAGTTATAGCCGGTTGTCCCTTAATTCAGATGCACTGCTTCCCCATCTTTAGAGAATCATTTGTCAGCTTTCTCTTAGCTTGGGGAGGAGTAATCATGAACATGTGTAGAATAGAGAAGGTGATTTGGATGTCTACTACTTACACAGAGGATCACCCTCTTTTAGTCTCTCTTCACTTCCACTTCCAGAACCTTCCGGAGCTGTCAGTAGCTACACCCTTTGGGAATTCTGGGGTATAAAATGATTGGTTTTCCCTCCTGCCTGTTTAATATTTTACTGCCTCCGGGCTGTAAAGTTGGTTACCACTCATCTAAATGTTCTCTAGTTTCCTGTATTATATTGTTCTATTTCTATTCAACATTTATGCCTTATTTAAGAAATTTCCTTTAGGGTAGTTTTAGTGGGGTTTTTGGGAGGGTGTAAAATTAGATATATGAAATGAAGTGCTTTCTTTTCTCTTTATCTGAAGTACTTTCTAAATATTACCTCAAATTCTTAAGTTTTTTATTCAAGATTACACTACCAGTATATACCAGAGATGGGATTCCTACTCAAAGTTTGGCAAGCTCTTAAGATACCTATTTTATAACATTGTCTTTTATTAGTGAAATCATTTAAGTATAGTTGAGCATGACCTTTTAAAGTTTCATTACTTGGGAGTAGTAGGAGAAGGACATCCTTAAGCTGTTTTATGTTTTACCAATATTCACTGTAGTCAGGTGGAAAGTGAACAATAAAAATGTTTTTCACAAGTCAAAGTCAGCTTGTACCTTTCAATTTAAGAATCTAGGAATTGCTTTTAAAATGTTATGGTTATTGTTAAATTTTTATAACCATTTTTTCATATCTGATCAGCCTATAGTTGTCTAATTTCTTTTTCATGGTTAGTAATAATTTATTTCTCTATAAATTTGAATTCTAAAAATTGTTCTGTAAATCAGACTTCATTTTGCTGGTAAAAGATGGACTAATTTGTTATTGTATAGTAATCAGATTCTGACGTATTGGTACTTACGTTTTAGCACTAGATAAGTGTCAGCTGTTAATGTAGTTCTTTTAAAATTTCAATCCCAGGGCTGGGGATTTAGCTCAGTGGTTCCACTGCCTGCCTCATAAGCAAAAGGTCCTGAGTTTGATACCCCCCCAAAAAAATTTCAATCCCAAATAGTCTTTGTTTTTACAAGGAATGTGAGGAAGTTCACTGTCTCTAACAACTTCTTTTTGGTACTGGGGAGTGGACTTGGAACCTTTCGCTGGCGAGGCAGGTGCAGTGCCACTGAGCTAAATCCCCAACCCTCCAACTTTCAAATATAGCAACTAAGACTTGGAGAGTTGATGGTTGAAATTCATGGAGAAAAGCAAAGGCTCTCATCCTTGAACTCCAGAACTACCACCTCTCTCAATTATAATTAATGGTCCAGTTCAGCAAACAGTTGATTTGACTTGATATTTCAAAATAAGGGAGGAGGCCGGGGATTTAGCTCAGTGGTTTTGCCGCCTGCTGCGCAAGTGCGAGGACCCGAGTTCGATCTCTGGTACCAAAAAAAACCCCCCAAAACCAAAAACCAACAAAACAAAATAAGGGAAGAATAAACAATTCCTACCAAAAATAATTTCAGAATGCTTTCATATTCCTATGCTTGTAAATCCAGTTTAAACCAGTGACATTCTGCTGTGTTTTATACAGCACGCCTGAACAGGAGCAGCTCATGGTTGTATGGCTAAGTTGGATGATAAAGGAAGAAGCTTACTTTGAGAGGTACGTTTACTTCTACTAACATGGTTCATTTAACTGAGAAACATTTTCTTATTCTCTCTTTGGAAATTCATATTTTTTGTGTGTTTCAACAGCACTTCGGGTGTCTCTGCTTCTTTTGGGGAGATGTTATTATTGGTGGCTATGTACTTCCATAGCAACCAGCTGAGTGCTATCATTGACTTGGTCTGCTCCACTTTGGGAATGAAGGTAACTTATTTTCATTCTGAAAGATGTTTCCAAATTGGAGGGTTTATTTTGAGTGTAAAATAATTATATTGCTTTCATTTAAATAATTTTAGTTGTTTAACAGTTTGAAATTTTTTGGTTTTTTTTGGATACCAGGGATCCAACTTGGGACCTTGCACTTGCGAGGCAGGCGCCGGAACCACTGAGCTAAATCCCCGGCCCAATAGTTTGAAGTTTTATCAGGAGCTCTAAGAAAATACATTTTGAGAGGATTTATTTATAAGAATAAGTTCAATGCAGAACATTTGGAAAGTATAGAAAAATACCTCATTTCCATCATTTAGTGATAATCAACTATACTACTGTTAACATTCTAGTGTTTGTCTTTTAAAATGATGTATTTAATAATTTAAAAGAAAAACTTACCATCCAGCACTACAAAACACCAAAACAAAACAAAGGTGTGTAATCCCAGCACTCTGTGAAGTCGAGGCAGGATAATAAATTCAAGCCCAGCCTGAGCAAAGTACAGATTTAGGGGATCCTCTCACAAAACAAAAAAAACTTTTACAAAAAGGATTGAGGATATAGCTTAGTATGAAGGCCCTAGGTTCAATCCCTAGTGTCACAAACAAAACAAAACTTAGTAGTATATGATGAACATTTCTTTATATCAATAAATATTATAATACAATGTAATTAATTAATTTTGTCCTACTGGGACTTGAACACAAGGACCTTATATATAAAGTATATGTTGTCATACTTTATATACTTTATTAATTTTAAGACATATGTTTTACCCAATATTGCAATTGGGATTCTTTTTTTTTTTTCTGCCACTGGGGATCAAACTCAGGACCTCACACTTGCCAGGCAGGCACGGTGCCACTGAGCTACATCCCTAGCCTTTAATTGACATGTGAATGTGATAGTGTTTGGTCTCTAGTCTTCTTACCTCTTTTTTTACCTACTGTTAAATATGTTGGTGCATCTTGGTGTTTTTAAAAGTGAAGGTGAGCATGGTGGCACATGCTTGTAGTCCCAGCACTCATGAGGCTGAGGCAGGAAGATTGCCTTGAGTTCAGGGCCAGCTTGGGCTACATAGTGAGTTCAAGGCCAGCCTGAACTACATAGTGAAACCCTGTCTCAAAAAAAAAAAAGCAAAGTAGAATATTTTACAAATGATTTTTCCCAATCTTTTTTGTCATTTAACTTTGCCATGAGAAAATTATTACCATTGATTTTATACAGTATATTGTTTCTTCTCTTCACATCCTGTTCTCTCCCCTCTCTACTTTTTTTGCAGTGCTGGGTTTCCAATTCAGGGCCTTGCATATACTAGGCAAGTGTATTCATTTTTTTTTGCTAGGTTTTGCTGTGTTGCCTAGGCTGGCCCAAAAAACCTGGGCTCAGGCAGTCCTCCTGCCTTCCTCTCCCAAGCAGCTGGGACTAGAGATGTGTGCCACTAGTCCTGCTTTACTAAGTACTTTTATATTGGTTCTTTTTCTGAGGAAAAGCATCCTTTAGTGTTGGGTTTTAGAAGATGCTTCTGAAACAGAATGCATATACGTTTGAACATTCATATTGTATATCTTGCATAGTTTAGATAATGAATTTCCAAAAGTAGGTTGTGTTTCATGTATTTTACATACTGTTGGAATTCTTTTGATTATTTTAGATTGTAATTAAGCCAAGTTCCTTGAGCAGGATGAAGACTATCTTCACACAAGAAATTTTTACTGAGCAGGTAAAAATTATTTTGTATGTTTAAGTATTTATTTAACTTTCTCTTCCCATATTTTTGGGGAGAAAACATATATATCACCTTTATTATATGGTCCTCCGTTCCATTTCAGTTTCTAATGATGTTTTATTTTATATTTGAAATTTCTGTAAAGAACTTTAAAGCAACTCATTGTAGAACAAAGTATGTTTTAAATTTATGTAGTTTTGGAGACTCTGAGTAGGTATTTTAGAGGCTAGTCTAGTATATTGGTTGGGCACTCATGTGAGATAATCATTTGGATTTATCAGGCAAAAAGTAGAGAACTTTAGTTTAAGTCTTTAGGTTGTAAGATTCATTTCTGTTTTTTCTTTTGGGTACCGGGGATGAACTCGGGTCCTTGCGCTTGTGAAGCAGGCAGCGGAACCACTGAGCTAAATCCCCAGCCCTGTAAGGTTCATTTCTAACAAGATTACAAAGAGCACTAAATTCCTTTTTCCTGTATTTACATGTTTTTATTTGGCCTCAATACTTTTGTCTGTAGCTAAACTTAAGAATATTAGAATATTTTTCAGTGGAGTTCATTCTAAAATTTAAAATTAATTCTCAGATTTATTTATCAATTTAAATCTTAAAATACAATATATATATATCTGTCTGAAAAATGAAATATTTTAAAATACTTATGGATCCATAGTTGTTGCTTCTTTTTTGTGATTAATATCCTTAGTCCTATGTCAGACTCTCCCCCTCCCTTCACAGACATGCACATATATGCTCCCATGTACCAGATGGTCACACAAAGGATGCAGGAGAATCACGTCACTTTTTATGTCATTAAATTTGAAGCAACTGGAACACAACTCTGGGAGAGTCTTTGAAAGACAAGTAGAAGTATGTGTATGACACATTGAGAATAACAATAGCTGTTTATGTGGTGCTTTATAATTCACATAATTATTTTCAAAAATATTTTTTCCATTACAGCAATCCTTTGAGATAGATGACATGGTCTTGCATTTTGTAGATGTGAAAATAGATTCAGAAGATAAAGTGACTTCTCTCACATCACTGAGCCCAGATCAAATGATTCTAAATTACATATATATATTTTTACCTTATCACGCCACTGTGTACATATCTGTGTTTTAAACTAAAAAATTAAAGAACTTTACATATCCCTACATGTATGAATAATTTAAAACTGTAATTGCTGATTTCCATCATTCATTCCTAAGTACCACACATAAGTATTGATAATCTATCCTACCTCTTTCACAATAATTTTTTATTTGGTTCTTTCATATGTATTAATATTATTTTTACATTTTAGGTTGTCACAGCTCATGCAGTTCGGGTCCCTGTCACCAGCAACCTGAGTGCCAACATTACTGGGTTTTTGCCTATTCATTGTATTTACCAGCTTCTCAGGAGTCGTTCCTTTACCAAGCACAAAGTGTCAATAAAAGTATGACTTTGTATTTATATTTCAAACTACAACCTAAGTTAATTTTTTTTCCTAGCTAGTTTTGTTTTATTTGTAGGCCTTTACTGTGTGTGGTATTTAGTGAAGTTATTAGTCATTCTTACAGGTAGAGTTATTAGGAACCCAATTTCAGAGTTTTAAAAAATATAACATTTTTAAAATGTAAAAATATTATTCATCCATTTAAATTCTCAGTAATGGTATGTGGCTACTATTAATACTGATTAACTAATATTAAGTATTCTTGGGGCTGGGGATTTAGCTCAGTGGTTCTGCCGCCTGCCTTGCAAGTGCAAGGTCCCGAGTTCGATCTCTGGTACCAAAAAAAAAAAATTAAGTATTCCTAGTACTTAGGAAGAAATGACCATTTTTTAAATTTTAGTTGTGTCCACCAAATTGGGAGAGTTGCTGGTCATCCATGACCACTATTCGCAAGTTTATTGCAAGGCCATCCAATACTTAAATTATACATGTACATGTTTCAGTTTGGTATATTTGTCCTATGAAACAGTTAAATGATCCTCTACAGAAAAGGCTAAAACCCAGGAGGTGCATAAATCTTTTTGAATCATTTATAGAATTTGCTTATTTATAAAGACCAATGAAAGTACATGCATGCTATTTTGCTTTCTTTGCCCTTCTTTTTTTTTTTTTTCGTACCAGGGATCGTACTCGGGTCCTTGCGCTTGCGCAGGGGGTGGCGAAACCACTGAGCTAAATCCCCGGCCCATCTTTGCCCTTCTTTTTATGATTTAATGAAATTATTTTTGCAGCTAGCTTGCATTTTGTGTTTCTATTATCAAAAAGCGACAGGTGTGGTGGTGCACACCTATAATCGCAGCACTTGGGATGCTGAGGCAGGAGGATCACCATGAATTCCAGGGTAGCTTGGGCTACATAGTGAGTTCAAGTTCAGGCTGAATTGCATAGCATGACTCTGTCTCAAAAAACAAAACAAAACAAGTAAAATAGCTAAGAATTAAGAATCTGAATACTGTATCCAACATTTCTATGTGTTCTTTCTAAGCTAGTTAAGAGATATTGTCCTGTTAGTGCTGATAGTAGCTGCTTTCTTAATCTGAGTGTATGCTTTGAAGAAAGATCCCTTTCCGTAAATTCCTCTGCTGTGGGTCTTCCATGACAACAAATATGGTACTATAGATACATATTTAGTAGGGACTTAAAATGTTTTCCTTGTTACTTAAAAACTATTTAAACCCCAAACTAGACTTATCATATTAGATTCATCTTTCACTGGACAGTATTCTCATTTAGGCTATAGATGTAATATATATTTTTATATCAAAGAAAATTATGAAAGTCAATAATATATTTGGAACTGCCAAAAGCTAATACCGAGTTTCACTAATCCATAAATCATGTAAAACTGCATGTGAGTCTATAATTTTGCTTGCTTTTTCTTAGTGCCACAATTGATTCAGTGCCTGTAACCTTCTTCTTTAGGATTGGATTTATCGACAGCTGTGTGAAACCTCTACTCCACTCCATCCTCAGTTACTTCCTCTGATTGATGTGTATATAAATTCTGTACTTACCCCTGCATCTAAATCTAACCCAGAAGCCACAAATCAGCCAGTCACAGAACAGGAGATCCTCAATATTTTCCAAGAAGTCATTGGGGTAAAATACATTTATTAGCTGATTTTTCTTTTCCTTTCTTCTGACTTACTCTATATTTTTTCTCTTCATGAGACTTGTGGGTGATTCTGAATTTAAAATAAGATTAAATGTCACCTTAGATCATCTGTAAAAATTAAATAATGCTATTAGTTACAAGTAGTTTGTTAATCAGACACTCTTCGAGGAGTTTTCTTAAAAGTTTCATTTTAGGGCCTGGGATTTAGCTCAGTGGTTTTGCCACCTGCTGTGCAAGAGCAAGGACCTGGGTTTGATCTCCGATACCAAGAAAAAAAAAGTTTCATTTTCTTTTTCTTTTTTTCTTTTTTTTGGTACCGGGGATTGAACTTGGGACCTTGCGCTTGTGAGGCAGGTGGCGGCCTAAAGTTTCATTTTAAAGCTAGAGGTAGTGGTAAACGCCTATATTCCCAGCACTCAGGAGACTAAGGCAGGAGGATCACTGTGAGTTCAAAGCTAGCCTGGGCTACATAGTGAGTTCAAGGCCAGACTAAAGTACATAGTAAGACCCTGTCTCAAAGAAACAAAACAAAAAGGTTCATTTTAAAGTATAAAAGTACCTTGAGGGCCGGGGATTTAGCTCAGTGGTTCTGCCACCTGCCTCACAAGCGCAAGGACCTGAGTTCAATCCCCGGTACCAAAAGAAAAAAAAAAGTATCTTGAAAAGTATGTATTTGTTAAAGGACTATGTGGCATTTTAATACATTCAGTATAGTACTTGTTGAATTTCCTAGGAACCCAATATACACTTAGATTCCTTTATTGAAAATTTTACACATTTTTTCCCTCAGTGTGTTAGAAGGAAAAAAGTTGAATTTTTCACAAATATGTTAAATATTCAATATCTTTTTTATAGTTGTTTATTCATGAGAATTTCACATAATACTTTAGATTTCTGTAACCCTTTGAAAGTCACCCTGACAAGAATGCTGTTGAGAGTAGTAGGTGAAGGTTTTTGTTTTAGTTCCATCTTAAAAGACTAGGTAAGCATGTGGCCTTTCATGCCTTCTCAGATTTCTCTTAAAATTCATATTGTCTCCTTGAGTTTAAATACAGCGTCATTTCTTTTGGTGTAGCTGAGCTTGGCAGCAGCAACACCAGGCAGTCTATTTTGATACTTGGCTGTTAAAGGCAAAAGAACTCATGCAATGAGTAGTGTGTTAAAGTCTGTGATGTCACCTCCAGGGTGACAGCGTCCACCTTAACCAGCATTTCAGCATCACAGCGCAGCTTTTGGTGCTCTACTACATCCTGTCTTATGAGGAGGCTCTTCTGGCAAACACAAAGACCTTAGGTAAGTGGTACCTAGGTGATTGGCTCTACAAGTTCATTTGCTTGTATTTTGTTATTTTCAAGCTATGGTATGATAAAATATGACCAAATATTTAATAAGCTGCAGCATCATTTTCTTTTTCTTTTTTTTTTTTTGGTACTGGGGATGAACTCAGGACCTTGTGCTTGCAAGGGAGGTGGCAAAACCACTGAGCTAAATCCTTAGCCCAGTAACAGCAGTTTTAAACCATAACATCAAAACCTAGGACTTGCTGGGTGTGGTGGTGCCTGCCTGTCCTCCTAGCACTGGGGTGGCTGAGGGAGGAGGATGGACATGAGTTCAAGGCCAGCCTGGACTACACAGTGAGCTCAAGGCCAGCCTCAGCTACATAGTGGGACCCTGTCTCAAAAAACAAAAACTTTGTACATCCTGGGCTAGTGCTCTACTACTGAGCACTCCCCCTCAGATAATATAAGATGATTATAGTCTTTGTCATATTAGGGAAAAGGTAATTTAACTGTAAAAATTAGGTAATCTACCACTTTCATCGACACATAGACAATGTTTTCTTTTTTTTTTTTCTTTTTCTGTGCCTGGGGATCGAACTCGGGACCTTGTGCTTGCGAGGCAGGCGCCGGAACCACTGAGCTAAATCCCTGGGCCCACGGTGTTTTCTGTTTATAGGACACTTGAGATTTAATAAGTAGGCAGTAGAAGAATGAGCTACTAGGTGTTCTAGGGGAGAAATCAGACCACTAATACTGTAGCAGAGGCCTGAGATACTCTTTAGTTTTTATTTTAATGAATCAGATTTGAGAGAGAGGAAGCAAGGTTGACTTTGAGCCTTTTATCAGAGCATAAAGGATAGAGTGTGCAGAGGTTGAAATAAAAGTGAGCCTTGAGGAAGTCCAGGTTTCTGGAAGATCAGGATGAGGACGAAGAGTTCAGTTGTGAATGTGTTGAGATAATCTGTTAGACCATCCAGTGGGGTTGTTCAGTAGACAGCTGGGTGTCTGGGCTGGAATTTAGGGGAGATACCTAAACTGAAGTTTTGGGAGTCTTTGGCATATATATGATATTCAAACTCATGACATTAAGCAGAATCACTAAGGGATGGAGTACAGGGGGAAGTCAGGAGGCTATGGTGTTCTGGAGGCTAGAAGAATGTTTCAAAGAGGAAGTAGCGAGGACCTATGTCAGGTGACATTGGTAGAGCAAGTACATTTAGGACTGAGGCCCAGCTGACGACTGCTAAGCTAAGGTTACTGTTGTGTTGGTGAAAAGCAAGCTGTATGAGGATGAAAGCCAAATTGTAATGAATTCAAAAGAGAATTAGAGGAGATATACTGCGGACAATGAGACCAGGCTGGACTTCTGAGGAATTGTAAAGAAGAGAAATGATGTGATAACTGGAGTGGAAAATGAGGTCAAGAAAGGATTTTTTTTTTAAAAGATGAAGAAATAAGAGATTGTTGGGAATGAGCTAGTAGAAAGCAGAGGACTGATGAAGTCAGGCCATCCCTGGAGTGTTGTCCCTGATAGGTGGGAGGAGATGGGATATAGAAGGCAAATGGGGGAATTCGCCTTTTTTCTTGAAGTTTTCCCCCAGGTAAGAGATTTTTTTTCCTAGTCTAGTCTCTCATCTCCAAGGGGGAATAAATAACTGCAGACTATGTCACAGCCTTAAGGTAGGTTTCTTTTGTACCACAAAATGTTACTCTGCCTCACATTCCCAACTATGAAATTATGTTGTAATTTCAGCACCTGGCTAACTGTTCTGTGGTGGTTTTTTTTGTGTGTGTTCTGTGGTTTTGACTTTTACAATAAATAGGTTGTTGCAGAAGCTCAGATAAGGAATTCTGAAATTTGAGATAGAGCCAAATATTGGAATATTATAGCCATTAAAAATATATGTGTATTGGGCTGGGGATTTAGCTCAGTGGTTCCACTGCCTGCCTTGCAAGCGTAAAGACCCAAGTTCGATCCCCGCTAACAAAAACAAACAAACAAACAAAAAAGTTTTAAAAATAAATGTGTATTCGTTCTTGGTGTTTAAAAATATTTGTAATACAAATATTAATTTTAGTTAAATACTCATTTGATTAGTATTTATTTATTTGTGTACTGTATGTGTATATATATATTTGTGTTACTGGGGATTGATACCCAGGGCCTTTGCATTGAGCAATATCCCCAGACCTTTTTTTATTTTTTATTTTGAGGCAGGATCTCTAAGTTGCTAAGTTGCCCAGGCTGGGCTTGAACTTTCGATCCTCCTGTCTCAGCCTCCCAGAATCCTGGGATTACAGGCGTGTGCCACCAAACCTGACTGGTTAGTATTTATTTATTTTTTTAAAAATCCCTGTTCTCCCAATACTGAGGCTTAAACCCAGAGGCATTTTACCACTGAGCTGCATCTCCATCCCTTTTTATTTTTTATTTTGAGGCAGGATTTTGCTAAATTGCCCAGCCTGTCCTGGAAGTTGCAATCCTCCTGTCTCAGCCTCATGAGGTTAAATGTTATGTTTGAACCTTTGAAAACAATACACTGGGAGAAATTTATAAATGTTAATGCTCATGATATATATGACCAATATTCTTCTTATAGGCATTTCATGATTATAGTTTACTTTTTTACTGAAGAATTAAGAATATACTTGATAGTATATTTTACAGAGATTGCAAAGAGAAATAATTGCTTTGAATTGGACTTCATGGGCTGCTGGTTCTTTGATGGAATCATTAAAAAATGTGTTTAGGGCCGGGGATTTAGCTCAGTAGTTCCAGCCTGCCTTACTAGCACAAGGTCCTCAGTTCGATCCCTGATACCACAAAAACCCACCAAAACCCAAAAACTAAACAAAACCTCCCCCCCCAAAAATGTGGGGAATTTAAGATTTTTGTCTTCTTTAGGCTTGGTGATGCATGCTTGTAATCCCAGCCCTTGGGAGGCTGAGGTAGGAGGATTGCCATGAGTTTGAGGCCAGCCTGGGCTACATAGTGAGTTCAAAGATACTGTTGTTTTGGTTTGTTTTTGGTACCGGGGATGAACTCTAGGACCTTGCGCTTGTGAGCCAGGCAGGCACGGAACCACTGAGCTAAATCCCTGGCCCAAAGATACTGTTAATTACAGAGTGAGACTCTGTTTCAAAAACAAAACAAAACAAAGCAAACAAACAAAAAAAGATTTTTGTCTTAAGCTTCATAGGGCCAGCTAGTTCATAGTTGTTTTTTTTTGTTTTTGTTTTTTTTTCGTACCGGGGACTGAACTCGGGACCTTGCGCTTGCAAGGCAGGCGCTGGACCCACTGACCTAAATCCCCGGCCCCATAGTTTTGTTTTGTTTTGTTTTAGATAGTTTATAGTTTATCCTTAACTGATCTTGGGGACTCCAAATCTCCTCCCCTCCCCTCCCCCTCCCTTTCCTTTTCTCTTTCCCTTGTCCTTTCTTCTTCCCTTCCCCTACCCCTTTCCCTTCCCCTTCTTCCTCTTTCCCTCTCTCTATCCCTTCCTCTTTTTTTCTGTCTTGCTTGCTTGTTTTTTGTGAAGGCTAGGGATTAAATTTAGTGCATACCGAGCAGCAGTGAGCTATATCTCCAGCCTTGACTTTAGATCTTACTTTTACTACTTAACATTTGAGTCCTTACTATGTGCCTTACACTGCCAAACCACTTTACAGGTGTTAACTCAAGTAAACCTTCACAACAATTCTATTGGACAGGTTATCTTTAATTTACAGGGCAGAACACTGAGGCACAGAGAAATTAAGTAACATCCCTATGTAATGAGTATTGGAGTTGGGATTTGATTATCATTGGAACCTGTAGTTATTGCTTTGACTACCTTCTCCACATTCTTTGTTCATAAAATAATTCTGGAAAATTAGGATGCTAATTGACTTACAGGGGATTATATTTGATCAAGAAGTGTATGGAAGGCTGGGGATATGGCTCAGTGGGAGAACCCTTGCCTAGTATGTGTAAGGCCCTGGGTTGCTTTGTACAGATGATGATCTTGACTTTTATTGTAGTACTTACATTCTTCTTGTCCTCAATCAAAAAAAAAATTGTTGGCCTTTACTTTCAGTGATTTGAAAAATGTTAGGCTTTACAATTAACATTTCATGGTTTTAAAAAAGAACAGCATAAAGAATAAAATATATGGATGTGCTTTTTCAGATACCCTGCTTGAGAGTCTCATATATTCATGTGGTATACAGCAAGGTTTCTTGGAATGAGAACAGGGTGCTAGGCACATAAAATATGATAAAGATGAGACAGAAAAAGATTAGTGAGCTAGTCACCACTATTGTGTATAATATGATTAAGTGAAGAATTTTTAAATTGTTACATTGGAATCACAAAGCTTTTAAGCCGTGTGTTCATGATGGCATTTGATCTTCTCTTTAGACTTGGGAGCTCTTAACTCATCAGCTCTTTTAGTGTAGTGAAGTGAATCTCTCATATAATGATTTTTCTCCCCATAGCTTTCAGTTTGAGGGCATTTTCCAGATCTTTCCCTTAAATATGGTCTTGCTTTTTCTGAATATTCAGTATTTTGATAGTTATTCTTCATTTTTTATGTACTATATTCACTGATAAGTGAATTAAAATAATTTAGGGGGATTAAATATGATCAGGCCAGGGATATAGCTCAGTGGTGCTGTGCCTGCCTTGCAAGCACAAGGTCCTGAGTTCGATGCCCAGTACCAAAAAAAAAAGATCAAGATGCAATATGTCTATGTGCAATTTCCTCAAAATGAATGCAATTATTATGTATCACAAGCATATACCAATGACAAAATAAAAGCATTTTCATTCCCATTTTGGTTAAAGGTTAAGATTTCTGTTGGTTCTGACAATTTATTTTTATATTTTTTATCTTTGACTGACAGCTGCCATGCAAAGAAAACCCAAATCATATTCTTCTTCTTTAATGGATCAGATTCCTATCAAATTCCTCATTCGACAGGCTCAAGGGCTACAACAGGAGTTGGGAGGTATTTGTTTCATTTGCTTTTTACTGCTCAAATTTATTGTTAAAAAATGTATGTCAATTTATAAGGTATATAGATGCTCAGTGTTAAAAATTCAAACAATTTAAGTGTGAGATTATTCTTTGCTTTCCTTACTAAATCCATTCTCTCACTTATTGGAACCTACCCCTTCCTGTAAAAAATCTGTAACTTTTCCAGTTTGGTGTATATTTTTAGGCATTTTCCTCTATTGGTTGAACCAAATAAAATTGAACATATTTAAGCATGGAGGTGTGGAGGTGTAGCTCAAGGTTAAAATGATTTGTCTAACATTTGTGAGACTCTGGGTTCAAGTGCTAGCATTGTAAAAAAAAACAAAACTCAATTACTGATTGTGTTCCAAATCATATTCTTCATTAATGGATCAGATTCCTATCAAATTATGTATTTAACAGGCTCAAGAGGAGTTGGGAGTTGGGAGGCATTTGCCTACAGTGGGTTTATTGGTGATATAACCTCATCATAAGTTGGAAATGAATTTAATACATCTAATTTTGAATGTTTTAGCTTAGTAAAGTACAGTATAGAGTATCCGTTACTCTTGTGATTGTGTGGCTGATTTAGTTGCTGTTCTCTGCTTCTTGATGCCATTGCCCAGCATCATGAGAGAGTATCTTACTGCACTATTGCTGCCCCTGGAAAAGAAAAATTCAAAACACAGGTTTTTTTTGGTACTGGGGATCGAACTTGGGTCCTTGCGCTTTCGAGGCAGGCGGCAGAATCACTGAGCTAAATCCCCGGCCCACAAAACACAGTTTCTAATGAATGTGTCTTGTTTTCACATCATTGTAAAGTTGAAAAAACTAAGTTGAGCCATCATAGGTTGAGGGGGCATCATTTTTGACCTACAGAAACAGCAGTTTCATTTGGTTGAGCCTACTAGATACACAAATAACAACAGTTTTTAGCTGGGCATTGGTGATACACATCTGTAATTCCAGCTGCCTGGGAGACTGAGGCAGGAGAATGCCAGTATTAGGCCTGTCGGGAGGCAGATGAGCAAGACCTTGTCTCAAAATTTAAAAGCAAATAATTATAAAGGGCTGGAAATGTAGCTTAGTGGCAGAGTGAAAAAAAGGACTGGGGATAGAGCTCAGTGGTAGGGAGATTACCAGGCATGATTTGGGCCCTCAGTTCAATCCCCAGTACAGGGTTAAAAAAAATAGTTTAAACTGTGAATGATACCATTGCCTCTTCTGAGAGCACCCCCCACTCTAGAACATCTTTCCAAATCATTACGTGGAGACATACCTTATTGTTTGTCATTATTCCAGTCTACAGTATATTAGTATGGAGTAATGTAATAATTTATAAATGCTATTATTCTTAAACACCTTTTATAATGTTAGAATGTGGATTTTTTTTCTGTTTCTTTGCATAGTCTGTTTCCAAAGAAATGATACTGTATTTTGCAGCATTTGCCAATTAACTTGTTTTATTGAAGAGAACATAAAATATAGATTAGTTTGCACTATTATAAGCAATCTTTTTTGTGATTGTTGGGATGATTTTAATTGTTTGTATATTCCTGTTTATGTTTAGAGACTTAAACTTTTTTTGGTGGGGGGAACTGGTGATGGAACCCAGGGCTTTCACACTGAGCTGCACCCCCCAGCTCATTTTTAAATTTTTTATTTTGAGGCAGGGTCCCACAAACTCAGTTGTATTGCCCAGGCTGGGCTTGAATTTCCAGTTTTCCTGCCTCAGTCTCCTAGAGTGCTAGGATTACACGTGTGTGTCACCATGCCTGGCTTAAAATACTACTACTTTTGATTGTTGCAATGTCTTGTCAAACATAGAAACATCAATTTTATGCAGCTTTTATGAGAAAAGAAGCTGGTATTATCTCTACTGGTATTAAACAATGTTATAATTTGATTTAACTTGCAAGAAGGAATGATTGACTCTTAGTACTCTGATTTGCTGCTGCTGGTACTATACTCTTACTAATGATGATGGTAATAGTGTAGTAGTACTAGTAGTGTACTTATGTGCCAAGCACTTAGCTTATGCTACTTTATATAACTAAATAATCATTTTTATAGCATTATTTATTTTATTATTGTTACTACATAATAGCATAAATAGGTAAACTGTGCTGTAAGCACAATGTTAGAAACAAGGCTTTTGACTTAGGAAAAGGAAGGTTTTACTGAAAGGTGCCACTTGTAAACACTCAAAGTGGGCAACTTTAATTTTACCTGTCTCAGTGATTCTCAACAGGATTGAAGAAGGAAAGGGTAGGCACTCTACAGAACCCTATCAGAATTTCTGAGTCAGTCTTTTTCAAATCATATATGATTTTGCCTCTTTGGAGTGTGCCTTCCTCCTTTTTTTCCTCTCCACTCCTCTTAACACATTGTTCTGTCAACTTTTCCTAGGCATTTATGAGGCCCCAGTTTCAATCCTTAACACTGCCCAAAACAGAAACAATTACTGATCATCTTTCACTTATATGATAGGTTTACTGGGGAGATATATATTGGCATGAGGGGGAAAAAGCTTGAAAACTTTTGGTGTAAGTGGTGGTTCCCAGGTCACTGTGTATCTATTTTAGGATTTTTTCTTTAAGCAGATCCTCTGGCTTGAACTACTGTATAGAAATTCTTGAACTGTGGTATGCATGCATTGAGGTGCCAATTTCTAGGCAGAGTTTCTGCAGTGTTCATCTGGTATGGCATCTCTTATTCTCCTCATGAGAGATGGTTCCCAAGCTTCTGAAGCTAGAGGTGCTCTCATCATAGTGTGAGAAACACTGGTTTAGAGCATGACCTTACTGTCTATTGGCTTCCTGAAAATGAAGGGTGGGAAATCTTCTGTTTTTGAGAATGGGGAATCTAATTGACTTGCTGTTAATTTTCAAGGGTTGCATTCAGCTTTACTACGTCTCCTTGCAACTAACTACCCACATCTGTGTATTGTGGACGACTGGATCTGTGAAGAAGAAATCACAGGGACTGATACCCTGTTAAGGCGAATGCTCCTGACTAATAATGCCAAAATCCACTCTCCTAAACAACTACAAGAAGGTACAGTACATTGATAGTCCTCTTAGCCCTTTAGCAGTACAAGGAGATGCTAAGCTAATTGAAATCTTATAATCATACAGAATTTTCCTGGGCATATATCAATGTTTTGGCGAATGTATTTTAAATAATTCTTTTGAATTTAGGAAGTTTTTTTGGTACCAAGGATTGAACTCGGGACCTTGAGCTTGTGAGGCAGGCGGCGGAACCACTGAGCTAAATCCCCAGCTCCCTAACCATTTCTTTTTGATGTATTCATATTTTTTTCTTGCAGTGCTAGGGATCAAACTGACATGCATGCATCTTTTACCTCATGTCATATAGCCCTAAAAATGTTTTAGAAAAGTTCTAAACTATTTAGAAATAAATGCTATTAAATAAGGCTGTATACTTGCTGTTAATGGATAGTGTTCTACATCAGCACTGTTAAATAGAAATAATGTGAGCCACACAATATAAACTTTCTAGTATCCCTATTTAAAAGTAAAAGAAAGCCTGAGGATATAGCCAGTGTTAGAGCATTTGTCTAACATGGATGAAACCTTGGGTTCAACCAGGCAATATTAATTTTTAAAAAATTTTAAAGTTTATTATCTTTATGTGAAAAGTTTGTACAATCACTGCACATTAAGGTCATTGCAGAATCTTTACTCTTTGTTTTGCCAGCACTGACATTGGCCTTTGGTGTCCCCTTGACTTTCTTCTTTCTGTTCTTGAGTTTATTTCACTGTTTCCTTGAGGCCTTTTTCTTCTCATAGAGGCCTGTCAAGTGTATGTTTGAGTGTATTTTTCTTTACATAACCCAAGGAATTACAATTCATAGCAAAGCCAGTTGTCTTGCCACCACTAACATGGGTTCTTAATCCAGATATAGAGATTACATCTGGTGTGGTCTTGTAAATTTTGGCTATTTTTTTTCTGAATTTCTGTTTTAGATACTGTTCCTTTCCCATGAGCATCCTGGTCTGCATGGTTCCTCTGTCATTCATGTCAGCTGCCTGTCCAAGACAGCTAGGGAGGAACAAGCTTCAAAAATAATTTTAATATTTGTTTCATTTAACCACATACCTCCAGTACATTATTTCGCCATGTAATCAATATGAAATTATTAATGAGTGTCCTTTTTTTTTTTAACCCACATTAACTTTTTAGCCCATGTATTGTACACTTCCATCACACTTCAGTTTGGACTATTTGCATCTCAGGTGTTTAAAAGCCAAATGTGGTTGGTGACTACTGTATTTGGGGAGGACAGCAATAGATATTTTTAGTAACAGCAATCTGGTGGGTGCTTATACCCTGTAAAGGAGCCACCAGAAGGAAAGTATCAAGAAGTTAAAGCTTTCATATGACTATCCTAACAGAGGCAGTACCTGGTCTATTTTTCTGTATCAGTCCTGCTTTTAAAAGAAATCTGAATCATCCAAGAAAATGAGAATTGGGTCACTAATATTTTTGTTTTGTTTTATTTTGAGACAGAGTCTAGCTATGTAGTGCAGGCTGCCCTTGAACTCACTTTGTAGCCCAGGCTGGCCTTGAACTCGTGGGGGCGATCCTTCTGCCTTGCCTCAGAGTCCTGGGATTACAGGCATGTGCCACCACACCTGGATACTAATATTTTTTAAATGAGGTTTTGTTGTTGTTGTTCTAAAGAAATAATAGTTTCAATAATTGGACTTCCATGAATTTTTCTTCTTTTTTTTGGTACTGGGGATCGAACTCAGGTCCTTGCGCTTGTGCAGCAGGCAGCGAAACCACTGAGCTAAATCCCCAGCCCTCCATGAATTTTTCTAAAGGCTCTTATTTTAGGTTTAGTCAGAACTGACTGTGATTGAAAGTTTTATTTTCTAGTAACATTGTTTTCTTGATTTGTTGGGTCTGTAGTGTAAGAGCAATATTACTTCCTGCTCCATAAACTTCAGATTTTGACTGCCAAATTTTCTTTTTTAGCATTTTCAGCCATCCCAGTAAATCACACACAAGTGATGCAGATTATAGAACACTTGACTCTACTCTCTGCCAGTGAACTTATACCATACGCAGAAGTATTAACATCCAATATGAGCCAGCTGTTGAATTCAGGGGTTCCACGGAGGATTCTTCAAACAGTCAATAAGTTATGGATGGTTCTTAATACTGTGATGCCTAGAAGGTAAATTCAATGTGCATTGTTACGTATAGCAGTGTATAGCAGCAATAATACACAATAACCTAAACTTAATTGTTAAAAAAAATTTCACAAGACCACTTATATTTATTGTGTGACAATAAAATTCCTTTTTGAAGACTACTAATTAACAAGTTGTTAGGGCCGGGGGTTTAGCTTAGTGGTTCCACTGCCTGCCTTGAAAGCAGAAGGACCTGAGTTTGATCCCCGGTACCAAAAACAAAACAAAAAAAAACCAAGTTGTTATATCTTTAAGGGAAAGAATGAAATAGAAACGTATTTAAGAAATAGAAACGTATTTCCAATTTGAGAAAGTTCTTTAAAAACAGGTTCTCATGTTTATTATTCTCATGGCTAATTGTGATTTAGGTCATTATGTTGTCTTGCATCAGGGCTGGGGATTTAGCTCAGTGGTTCCACTGCCTGCCTGGCAAGTGCAAGGTCCTGAGTTCAATCCCCATTACCGAAAAAATAAAATAAGCAGCTATGTTGTCTTGCATCATTGCTTATTATGATCAATTTTTCATCAGGCTGTGGGTAATGACAGTTAATGCACTTCAACCTTCCATAAAGTTTGTACGACAACAAAAGTATACACAGAATGACCTGATGATAGATCCCCTCATTGTCCTGCGGTGTGATCAGAGGGTTTACAGGTACGTGTCATCTGAGTTTCATTTTTATTATAGAGTTATACTCTAGACAGTCAAAATAATTTGAAGAAATTCAGTTTAACCTTGTACTTGATGTTTTTGCAATAACTAGGCAGTATGACCTATGTGTCTTTTTCTTTAGTTGTTTATATTCATGAACTATATATTTGGCTTAGTCTTCAACATGTGGTTAAAAAATATATTCAACATGTGGTTAATAAAGTAAAGCCTTAGAGAAATTTCTTAGAGAAGTGTTGCTTTTGTTGACCACGAGTAGTGTTAACCGCGAGTAGTGGTTTTCGCTCTCATAGTGAAAACTGGTTAAGAATAACACTTTTTCTGCTAGCATGTTGAAAAAGGATTTTAAAAAACTGGTTCATTTTCAACTGTTACATACCTTACAACTGTGACTGTACCTTTAATTTTTTTTTTTTTTTTTTTGAGACAGGGTCTTGGTGTGTGGTTTAGGCTGGCCTTGAACTCATGGTGAGGGAGTGTTGGGATTTCAATTATAATGTTAGCTTCACTGAATCTACATTGGTTCTAATTCTTTGTCAAAAACATTGAAGCGATTTCACCTCAAAAAGCAATCAATGAACTCAGATCATTAATATTTGAATTTCTAGTTGGTTTTTTTTCTTTAATTTTTATTTATTTATTTATTTGGTTTTTTGAGGCAGGGTCTCCCTTTGTAGTTCAGGCTGGCTCTGAACTCACTATGTAGTCCAGGCTGGCCTCAAACTTGGAGCTATCCTCCTGCCTCAGCCTCCCAAGTGCTGGGATTACAGGTGTGCCCCACCATGCCCGGCATTTCTTTAATTTTTTTGAGACAAGGTTTTACTATATAATCACTATGAATTTGTGATTAGCTTGGGATGTCCTTGAACTCACAGTCCTCTTGCCTTGCTCCCCAAATGCAGGAATCCAGGCATGTGCCCTCTGTTATATTACTTCTGGTTATAATGCTAAATAGTATCAAAGGCATTTAAATTGAGGGGACTGCCTTAAAGTGATTATCATCTGCATGGGGAAAGAGGACATAATGAAAAGGTGAATAATAATAATAATAAAAAAGAAAAGGTGAATAATATGGCCACGTGCAGATGAATGGCATAGTAATGAATGCTGGTAAAAGCTGGAGAAAGCTGGGACCTGGGTGTTTGAAAGGATTGACCTAGGATTTAAATGAACAGATAATATATTGGTGGGGTTCAGTGTATCAAGGAAAGTATTTGAGAAGGTATTTTGAATATGAGCAAAGGTATAGAAGCAAGGATGAAAAAGGCTTGCAACAGAGGGTTAATTTTTTTTTTTTTTTGGTTCTGGGGATCAGTCTCTGGACCTTGCGCTTGCGAGGCAGGCGGTGGAACCACAGAGCTAAATCCCCGGCCCAATATTTGAGAGAAGCACACTTTACAACTGGAAAGTTAAGTTGGAGTCAGATTATGCAGATGCTAGAAGATCATTTAGGTGGTATTTTGGGAAAAGAAGCTTTACATTAGGTGTGCCACAGGGAGAGAAACTATAGGAAAAATGACCAAGTAGGATACAACCTACACTCAACCAAAGGGATGACAGTGTGGGAGTGACAGACCTGATAAATTTGCTTAGTATGGTTTGGTGAGATTGGGGTTACATAGGAAATAGGAATCATGAGAATAAACAATGCAAATCACCTTAAGTATCTAATAAAAAGAAAAGCATGGTAAATAAAACTTCTAAAAAAGAGGTACTTGTTTTTCCTCTCAGTGCTGGGGAATTAATGCAGGACCTCATGCATGCTAGGCAAACACCGTGCCACTAGGCTGCACCCCTGTTTCTTTTCCTTTCTTTCTTTCTTTTTTTTTTTGGTACTGGGGATCGGATTTGGGACCTTTACGCTTGCAAGGCAGGCGGTAGAACCACTGAGCTAAATCCCCAGCTCTCATTTTTTTTTTCCAGTACGGTGGATTGAACTCAGGACCTTGCACTTGTGAGGCAGGTGGGCCACCACTGAGCCAAATCCCCGGCCAGTTTCTTTTTAATTTTGAGACAGGCTCTCGCTACATTGCCCAGGCTGGCCCCCAACTTGTGATCTTCCTGCCTCAGCCATCCCAGTAACTGGTGCTACAAACATGTGCTGTTTTAGTGTCTGGCTGAAAAGCAGTGCATCTAAAACAAATGATTTATCAGTGTTAAAATCCACTTAAGTAGGTGATGGATGGGTTACCTCAGGTAATTTAGTTCAGGGAGGTTACAAGATTATGCTTTCAAAATACATTCTGTATTTGTATAGTTTGGATGTACCACTAGTGAACCTTTTCTGATGCTAACAGATTTGTTTCTTATATTAATTGGCTGCGTTATTTCATTTTATTGATGTACTATGCTTCACCCCATGCCTTATTTATTGCTGAATATTTTATTTTTTTGTGGTATTGGGGATTGAACCAGGGCCTTTGCTCTAAGTTACATTCCCAGACCCCCTTTTTATTTTTGGCTTAATTTTGAGATAGAGTCTTACTAAGGTGCCCAAACTGGGCTCCAGTGTGACATTCAGGATTAACCCAGTGGTGGCATTAGGAAAGTGCATGGAGACTGTTGAAGCAGGGTGATGAGTTCTTGGGAATTTATTGTAATATTCCCTTTTTTTTGTATGTATGAACATTTTCATGCTATCTATTAATAAGTGAACCTTTAATAAGATGCAAGATTAACAAAAAGAAAAAACAGATTCTTTCTGGCCTCTTTTGACCAATCCCAGTTTTATCTCCAGAGGAAGCTGTTAGAATGTTGTATAAGTAGTTTTACTTTTCTGTGTACTTAGTAATTTATGAATAGAACTTTTTTTTGTTTCAAATGTTTTAAAGAAACATAAGTAATATTATAGGGATTGATTTATTCTTTTAAAAAATACTTTTGAGCCAGGTATGGTGGTGCATGCCTGTAATCCCAGCACCCTGGAGGCTGAGGCAGGAGGATCACCTTGAGTTCAAGGCCAGCCTGAGTTACACAGTGAGTTTAAGGCTAGCCTGAACTGCATAGTGAGACCCTGTCTCAAAAAATACAAACCACAACAAAACAAAACAAAACCCCCCCAAAGAAACAAAAAACCTAAACAAAAAACTCCCCAAAAAACAAGACTTTTACTGCTCTCCATGTTTTCTGTGTTCATTATGCGTAGTTCTACCTCATTTGCTTTAACTGCTGCACAGTCTTCCAGAGTGTCCTCCAGAATCTGTGAGAATGTCCGGATTGGAGCTTGAGTTTTATGATTTTTTTTTTTTGGTACCGGGGATTGAACTTGGGACCTTGGACTTGTGAGGCAGGCGCCGGAACCACTGAGCTAAATCCCCAGCCCAAGTTTTATAATTTTTTAAACAGGCCGTTCTTAGATTTTGGGAAGGTGATGCTCATTTTCAGTTTGGGGAAGCATGGCTTCAGTTCAGCATTGACATGGAGATGGACATTAGGTGGTGCCAGTGTTTCCGTTCTCAGTCCATCTGTGATGCCTGTGAAGGTGTATACAGGAGTTCTCTCTGTGATAAAGCCTAAGAAATGGAACCTCTGGTTTCTTTGAAGGGCTTGACATTTGAAATTCTAGTGGTCACTAGTTTATCTTTTTTATCATTATTTTCTTTTTTATACTTACTTTTACTTCATTTAAATTTAATCTACAATCTCAATCTTTGAGGAATGAATAACCATGTGCCTGTTTTTTAGATGAGGAAACTAAGGTTCAGTAAGGACCTTCCCTTAGCCTTCCCCAGGTTAAGGAGATGAAACACTCTTGGAATATGGAGTTGTCTTGTTCTCTTACTCCAAAGAAAAACAAGAGAAGATAAATAATCTCTTCTAGCTTCCGTCTTCTCCATCACAAAACATGCCTCTTTTGAGGACAACTGCTTTGCAGGCTCATGTCTAAGAGATTTATGGGGAGCATAGATTTCAGCAAAAAAGGAGTATCTTTTCTCTGTCGCTTATATTGCATTTTAGCTGATAAGATGAACAGGTGAAAGTGTATAATCTATAGAGAATAGGAAATATATATTTAAGTTTTATATTGAGAATAAATATTTCAGTGGGAAAATTTACTATTCTGTGATACTCAGATTTTTCTATTTAACTGAGTTGATCATGTTCTGACATAAATTTATATACTTTCCACACATTTGTCTTTCTTTTAGATGTCCCGCGCTGATGGATATTACACTACACATGTTGAATGGATATCTTCTTGCATCTAAAGCTTACCTTAGTGCTCATCTGAAGGAAACAGCAGAGCAAGACAGGCCTTCCCAGAATAATACAATAGGTTTAGCTGGACAAAATGATGCCCCAGAAGTTACCAGAGAAGAACTGAAAAATGCATTACTGGCTGCTCAGGTACATTTTGCTATAGTAAAATTTAGTCAGAAGGGTAAGGGGTTCCCTGCTAATGTAATTAAAGAAATGAATGGTACATTATGCCTGCTATGCTTGATATCCTGTGCATTCCTGTTATAAGAGCATCTGTGATGACGATGTTACCTTTGCACTGATTATTATATTTCACTGAAACCAGGAATAAGCTTCACAATGTGAATTTCATAGCGACTTAAATAAGTATTTTTAATAAAATACAAGGCTTTAACTTCTGAAGTTATAGTTAATATCTTTACTGACTAAACAAATACTTATCAGACACTTATGTGCCAAATACTGTTCTAGGGACTGGAGTTATAGTGGTGAAGAAGAGAAAATCTTTAGTTATTTCTTTTTTTTGGTACCGGAGATCAAACTCAGGTCCTTGTGCTTGCGCAGCAGGCGGCGAAACCAAATCCCCAGCCCTCCTTGGTTATTTCTTAAGATCAAATGGTAGAAAGGAAGTCAAATGTTGGAGACGGTAAATAGAAAAACAGGAAATATATAATAAAATGTTAGGGAGTGATAAATACTGTGACAATATAAGCAGTTCAACTTTATACTTAGGAAGTTTTATAACCATGTAGAATTTCGTTAAAACCTTAGGTAGTCATTTTTGAATAATGTAGCAGATGTGAGATGATAAAATGTTAAGCAGTTTGAGGTCTTCAGAAATTTTTTTTAGTTTGAAATGTATTTTCTGAAATCTCATTGATGAAAGGAAAATTAGGAGTAATAATACCAGTCTACAGTCCTCTAACCTATAGTATAGAAATCCAAAAAGGCTGTGAAAATGAGGCATTTCTTTTTTTTGGTGCTGGGGATTGAACTCAGGACCTTGCACTTGCAAGGCAGGCGGCAGAACCACTGAGTAAATAAATCTGAGGCATTTCTTTTTTAATTCATTTAGCAGAAAAATTTGACATTATGTGAACTCATTTGGTGAGAAATTGATGTAACACTATTGATGGTCTTTATCTCTCTTAATGTAAATATTGGTATGTTTGATATTCAATGTGTTTGCTGTCCCATTCTATACTTGATCTTAGCCAAAAGGCCAAGAAGCGATCCCACACTATTAATATTGTGTAATACTACCTTTTAAAAAATTCTGGCCATGTATGTTGTTGCATGTGTATAATCACAGCTACTTGAGAGGTAAGGCAAGAGGACCACAAGTTCCAGGTCACAAATTCTGGGCAACTTAGTGAGGCCCTGTGACAGAGGAAGCACAAGGCCCTGGGTTCAATCCCTAGTACCACAGTGGGGGAGAAAAATCTGAGTTCTAAAGTAAATTTTTCTCTGGGCATGGTGGTGCATGCCTGTAATCTTAGCACTCGAGAGGCTGAGGCAAGAGAGTTCGATGCTAGCCTGAATTACACAACAAGACCGTGTTTCAAAAAACCAAAAAAAAAGTAAAGCTTTTCGTATGGATTAGAATAAGGAACTGTAGATCATAATACTGTAGTTTACACCTATATACGGCTTACTACATGGGTAAGTTACGTGGGTGCCAGTCTAAGTTCTTTACATACATTAACTCATTTAATTTTTACAACCAACCTGTGAGGCATTGAGTATTATCATATGCATTGTGATAGATTTGGAAAATGAGACCCAGAGAGGTTTAGTGATTTGCTCAAGGTTATATATTCAGTAATGTGAGAGTTAAAAATCATGCTTGTGTACTCGGGTTCTGTAGCCTGCAAATAAAATCAAGTAAAACAAACACAAAAGCCACTATCCAAAATCCATCAACCTCAAGGACAGGTTGAAAAGAAAGGCTAACTTCAGTTGCAAAGAAAAGCTAACCCTAAGAATCATCAGATTCTTAAACATTTTGATCACGTAATTGTTCTCTACCCCAGCCAGTAGCTGTTTTACAGAGATGCATGTCATATATTCTTTCTCTCTTGTTTAAACTCCTTTTTAATAGATGAGATTGATTATAGTTCTCCTTCAGATAGAGGGGGCTCAAGTAGGTCACCCATTAAAAACTATTCTATGAAATGACTCCCAAGCTATAGCCTGAGCTAGGGTGGTTTGTGCAGGCAGATTGGGTGGTGAGGGTAGAATCTGTCCCTGTCCTTGCAAAACCAGGGCCTTTTAAGAGCCTGTCTTCAGGTTGAAAAGGATTATGGGAAGTAATTTAGGCATTATTACCCACAACCTTCAGAGGAATTAGTTGGTAGCCCAGTGAGAAAAAGGAGGAAGAACAGGTAAGACCTGGGAAAATTAGATTAGGAAGGAAGGGAAAGTCTGGTAGAAGTTGTTTTTGCCTTAGGGCCTATTTTGGGCGTCACTGAATTAGATTATCTTTCTAGTAGATGTTTTTAAACTGGAGTCTGTGGATCTGCCTTAGAGATATATGTCTTCCTTGAAATGATATAATATGTTTATTTTTGTTAATTTTTATGGAAAGAGGGTTTTATTTAGATTTTTAAGGGACTCATGACCCTAGAATGGTGAGAATATTGCTTTATACATTGTTTACTTCTGCTCTAAGAGCCGCCACTTTGTGTGTTTGGGTTTTTGTTTTTGTTTTTTTTTGGTACCAGGGATTGAACTCAGTACTTTGCGCTTGCGAGGCAGATGCGGTGCCACTGAGCTAAATCCCCGGCCCTTTTTGTGTTTTGAAAGAAACTAGTTATTCTGCCATTTCTGTTCATGTGGAAAAAATTGTTTGATTTTCAAATGAACTTCTCAGAAACTTCTGTTTGCTTTGCTTGTAGGATAGTGCAGCTGTTCAGATTCTCTTAGAGATTTGTTTACCCACTGAAGAGGAGAAAGCAAAGGGTGTCAATCCAGACAGCTTGCTAAGAAATGTTCAGAGTGTTATCACGGGCAGCTCTCCGAGTAAGGAAACAGAGGAAGGGGAAGACAATCTGCTTTGTAACCTTCGGGAAGTTCAGTGCCTTATCTGTTGTCTGTTGCACCAAATGTACATTGCAGATCCCAACATTGCTAAACTTGTTCACTTTCAGGTATGTTTTCAAAGAATGATGGTTTATAGTTTATTTTTCTTGGGGATTGTTAGGGATCATTTAGAGATACTGTAATACAAATGATCAAGTTCTTTTATAATATGGAAAACTATCTAAATTTTAGGTTTTTTTCCCAACCCAATAAAGCATTCAAATAATTTCTCTCTTATTCTAGTACATCAAAATAGTGAAATGCCAGGATACATGTAGAGCACTGTAGTCTTCTGAACATCTTTTACATAAAGAAAGTGAAACTTTCATATAGTGAAACTTTCATTTGTTTTTATCTACATTTATTTGACTTATTTCTAACCTTTTCCCTCTTTCTTGTTGAGATAGGGTTATCCATGTGAACTCTTGCCTCTGACAGTTGCAGGTATTCCATCTATGCATATCTGTTTGGATTTTATACCTGAGCTTATTGCACAGCCAGAACTTGAAAAACAGGTAATGAACGTGTTGGAGCTTTAAGAAAATGTTGATAGTCTGGAGTGGTGGTATATGCATATAATCTAGCTCGGATCGTAAGTTGGAGGCTGGTCTGGGCTACATAGCGAGTTCAAGCTTGGCCTCAACTATGTCGCAAGACCCTATCCCCAAACAAACAAAAAATTTGATCTCTTCCTGTAGTCTTGCTAGTTATATAAAACATCTTATAATTTTTAATATGTAACATATTCTTGAGAAATATATAACCTTTGGATTTTGTATTACAGATATTTGCTATCCAGTTGCTTTCTCACTTGTGTATCCAGTATGCATTACCAAAATCACTTAGTGTGGCTCGCTTAGCTGTCAATGTCATGGGAACTTTGCTAACAGGTGTGTAGCCAACATCAACAACAAAAACTTCTAACATGAATTACTACTGTACATATATTTTCTGAATTTAATGACTCAGTAGTTTTTTGTGTCAGTATGAAACAGTATAATACAATGTACGTTCTATGTAATTTAGGTCATCTTTTGAATTATTGTTTTGAAGATTCTTCTATTTAAAATGAGATTTATAGTGTAGAAGAAATGAATAGGCAGGTAAATGAGATCTTTCATTTAATTAAGTTAATTAATTTATTTTGGTACTGAGGATCGAACTTGGGACCTTGCGCTTGTGAGGCAGGTGGTGGCACCACTGAGCTAAATCCCTGGCCCAAAATCTTTAATTTTAAATGAATAGATATACATATAGACTTATAGTGGCTGTAATAAGATCACATTCTTATAAATAGAAGTCACATCTACTTTATGAATATAATTATTTAGTAGAAAATAAGTTAAGATTTATTATAAATGCTCAGAGCTCTAGAAAAATATAATCATACATGTGTAAAGAAGATGTAAATATGTTAGTTTCCTTAAGTTCTAAAATATATGTTAACATTTTAACCACCTTCTGATTTATAGAGTAAAATGGATGGAGATAAACTACTTTATAGTTGAGTCTTTTAAAGCTGTGGCTTAATTTAGTATTCTTTGTTGATGTTTTTATAATACTATGTTCATTTATCTTTCCCTTGTATTCATCTCACACTATAATTCTTTTTTTTTTTTTTTTTTGGTACCGGGGATCGAACCCTGGTCCTTGAGCTTGTGCAGCAGGCGACGAAACCACTGAGCTAAATCCCCGGCCCTCACACTATAATTCTTTATAGTGGTTAAGAGTTTATATTGCCTGAATTCAGTTCCACCTTCTGCACTAACTGGCTGTGTGACCCAGGTCAACTTTAGTTCATAGTTTTAATAGTCAGATGTAAAGTGAGTGTCACAGTGGTACTCTTCTCATTCTGGAAAGGGTGAGAACTAAGTGGGATAATGCCCGCAATGCACTTATGACAGCACTTGGGCATAATAAAAACTCCTATGTTGGATGATGACTGTTAGACTGTGTGCTCTCTGGAAGGTAGGGCTTACAGTGCCTTAGGAAACTTAGTATCTCCAGTACAGAGCATGGTGCTTAATTTGTTGTATAGGTTGCATATGTCCAATATGTATCTACAAAGTAAAAAATTCTGTTTAATTTCTTTCCAACAGTTTTAACACAGGCTAAGCGGTATGCTTTCTTCATGCCAACTCTTCCAAGTTTGGTCTCCTTTTGTCGAGCATTTCCTCCACTGTATGAGGATATTATGTCTTTACTGATTCAAGTAGGACAAGTTTGTGCCTCTGATGTTGCCACTCAGACAAGAGACATTGATCCAATTATTACACGTAAGTGGTAACTCATTTTCAAGATTGATCTTGTTTTTTTTTTCTGGTTTTTTTTTTTTGGTTCTTGGGATTGAACTCAAGACCTTGAGCTTGCTAGACAGGTGCAGTGCCACTGAGCTAAATCCCCGGCTCAAGAGTGATCTTACTATCTCAAAGATGACTGAATTCCTTTCCAGAGTTCTTGCCTTTATTTGTTTTTCTTTCCTTATGTTTTTTTTAGGTCTTCAACAAATAAAGGAGAAACCAAGTGGATGGTCACGAATCTGTAAAGATCCACCTAATAAAAATGGATCCAGGGACACTACAAGCATGGATCCTGACGTACAGCTCTGCCACTGTATTGAAAGCACAATAATTGAGATAATAAATATGAGTGTTAGTGGAATTTAAAAAATTTTTTGAATCAAAAAAGTGAAGCTGTTTGCTGCATATACCCAACATGAATCTGCATCTGATAGCAACTCCAAAATGAACTGGAATAGTAAGGTCTTGGAATTGCTGAAATGACTCAATTCAACACGAGTACAATTTAGAATCTGAGAATCATGCTTGCTTGTATTTGGTTCTTTTTTTTTTTTGGAACCTGGAATTGAACTTGGGTCCTTCCACTTGTGAGGCAGGCAGTGGAACCACTGAGCTAAATCCCCAGCCCCATTTTTTTTTTTGGAACCGGGGATCGAACTCAGGTCCTTGTACTTGCACAGCAGGCGACGAAACCACTGAGCTAAATCCCCAGCCCCATTTTTTTTTTTGGAACCGGGGATCGAACTCAGGTCCTTGTACTTGCACAGCAGGCGACGAAACCACTGAGCTAAATCCCCGGGCCACTTGCTTGTATTTGATTGGCACATTTTTGGATCTACTTTGGTGGTATGTTTATATTGTAGCTGAGCTTTTTTTTTTCCCAGTGGGAACACGTTTAAGAAACTCATTACTGGAAAGGGAATTTGGTCTTCTCCTTAGCTTTCGAAGTGAGAAAGACTGCCATGCCTTTAATTTCTTCTAAAAATGAGTATGTGGGTAGCCCTAGTATTTAACTGTGAGCTTGTAACAGAGTACAATAAGGGTAGAATGATGAGAGGGAGAGAAAGGGATCACAGGAAGGGAGAATTCAGGAAAAATTAGGAGTTAAATACCCCAATAGAAATCTCAAAGACTTGCAATGCAAGTCATAGTAGTGCAGGTTGGAATTCTAGTTCTCAAGAAATAGTATTGAGATGGTTTTAAGAAAAGGCAAGTAGCTTCTGTAAATGATTTCCATGGAATTACAGGTGAGGATTTATAGATATCACATATTTGCTTCAATTTTTACTAATAATGAAGCCATATGTTTAAAGAGATACTTGAATAATTTGGAAGTTTAAGATACTGGTTTAAAAATGTTTACAGGAACAACAAAGAAGAACCTGAAAGGAAGTCTCATTTATTTTATTTTTTAAAGTTTATTTTTATAATACTTTATTAACTTATCTAATTCTCAGAGAGGGGAATATATATCAAATTAAATGAAATTTAGAGCACTAAAACCCACTAGGTTAAAGAGCTCTTGGTTTGTCATCAGGATAATTCACATTTTACTTTGAGAAGATTTTTGGGTGAGAAAATACAGTGTTTGAACCTCAGGAAAAATTAAAATGTGGGAAATACTGTCTTGCTGAAGGATTTTGCAGTCTTCTGTTAGTAACTTCCATGGTTTAGGTTAGACGCATTCAGTAACCCATAAGCCTCATTTCCACCCCCCCAAATTAAGTATCTAATATAGAAAGTACTTGTCCTTGCTCTCTGAGATATACCTCAATCACTCCCCCCACCTTGAAGCAGACCTCTTCACTTGTAAAAAAAATTAGGAAAGTTAAATAACTTTGTTTTTTAAGAAAAGAAATTTCACTTCAGCCTTTTCACTAGCAAATAGTACATCTCATTTTCCTTCTTTGTAAAATGGGGTTCCTACTGGCCCTACCTCATTAGGGTATTCTACAAAAACTAGTTTGTAGCTGTTTCCAATAATGAAGTGCATAGTATCATGTGTGATAGAATATTTATAAATTTTTATTACATGCTTAATGTTCAATTAAATAATTTTGATGTGAAAAATTAATAGGCTTAAAAATGCTATAAGAATTTTCATATTTTTAAACAAGGCAGTTTTGTAGTATCTTAAGATTAAATACAACTGCTCTGTTTTTGTTTTATTTTTAAACTGAGGCCTTGGAGTATTTTGTGTGAATAGGTATCACCTTCAGAAGAGGTTACAGTATGTTTTTTAACTAAATGCAATACATATGTCCTTGGTCAATTTTCAAAGACTGCTTAAAACCTGCTGTGTAAAAATAACAACATAGGCTGTTTTTCATCAAATTTGTTGATGCTGTAAATAAAATGTGTAAATATATTAGTAAATGTTAATATTCATGTATTTTAAGTTAAGGTTATAAAATTTGTCACAATGTGATTTTTTTATTCACGTGAAACCAGATGTGTGCAGCTATTTTGAATATTGATTTATAAACATTCATAATCTTATCAAATGAACTTGTCTTTTTTTTGTGTTTCATTCCATTGCTGTTAACCTGATTCATGAGGTTCAAACCATGGAATCCAAGACTGTGTGGTTTATGTGGGCTCATGTGTCTTCCTGTTATGCCACATGCATTAAATGGCAGTAAGAGACTAGAGTTGATTGAAAAGCCTTAAGACATTTAGGTGAGGAAGTTAACAGTAGTTACCCTGTAGCAGTTACCTAAAATATTTGATATTTTAAAAATTTATAAAAGCAAAATAATGATTCAAAGTTTTTAAAAGGATTTATTTTTATGAATTATCCTTCATCTCATTGTAACAGTAAATTACTTCTTCATCTTTGCTTAGTCATATATTTTCACATTACTGAATTTCTAACATCCAATTTGGAGTCTGCTTTTTTTTTCATTTAACTTTATGTGACATTTTTTTCTTGCAAGTAAGTTTTTAAAGTAATAATCCTGTTCGGTTCATAATCTGTTGAATTTTGATAGATCAGACTGGGGAGTTTCTACGTTTTTCCAATATTCCAAATAGGCACTGTTGTCAGTTGAGGTGTTAGCACTTTTTCTTTTAGATTATGTCTTTAGGATAAATTTCTGGGACTGAGATTACTAAATCAAAGGGTAGAATTTATTTTTATGACAAATTTTGTCATTTTGGGAAGATGTAATAAAACAACTGAAAGTGAGGCAAATAATTCAACAAGTCTTATGCTCCCTCTTCCCAATAAACCTCTTCTCTCCAAACTAGCTACTTGAATTTAAGAAACTGTCCCAGGTTTTGCCCTTTTGGGACAATAGTATCTGAGCCATGGTTAGGGTATACAGAGTTTTAAGAACGAAAACCAAAATTACATAATTTTGCGAGGTCATGATTAACTCCTTGTCTCCGAGGACACTGGATTGTCGTCTTCCTTTTTTTGGTACCGGGGATCGAACTCTGGTCCTTGAGCTTGCGCAGCAGGCAGCGAAACCACGGAGCTAAATCCCCGGCCCAGGATTGTCTTCTTGATAAAGAATAAACTGGTCGTAGGAGCGATGGAAGGCAGATAAACCTTAGAAGTGTTCTGTTGGTGAAGACCTCAACAGTGATCAATAGTGTATCTCTGGCTGGTTCTGTTATCTGGAAAAGCCTTGAGATTTTTTTTTTTTTTTTGAGGCAGGGTCTCGCTTTGTAGTTCAGTCTGGCTCTGAATTCACTATGTAGCCCAGGCTAGCCTCCAACTCGCGGCAGTCCTCCTGCCTCCGCCTCCCTAGTGCTGGGATTACAGGCGTGCGCCACCATGCCCAGCAAGTATTAAGAAATACTGTACCAGTTGTCATAGAATCCTCTCACCCTGTTTGGCTGAGCAGACGGGCAATTCCGGTCTCAAGTTTTTTTCCGATAACCTGGCCACTGGAAAGCTGGGAAATTTAAATTGGCACTGATGAAAGGCCCGAAAACTAGGCAAGGCTTGAAGATACACCCTCTCCGTTGATCTAAAGAGAAATGGTTGCGTGGGTCACCAGTTTCAAAAGTCAAACGAAGAAGACTTTTTCCTTCGAGCAAACTCCCAGGTTTGCTTACCTCTCCTTCTACGGGTGATTGTCTTCCGGTGCCGCGAAGTACCTTGGGTTGGTTCTTATTTCGGAGGCTCCTATTGGGTGCTACAGGTTTCGCCCCCTAATCTCGTGCAGGGATTGGTTGCTTGCCTTCTTGCCTTGGCTGGTGATTGGTTGTCTGAACTCGTTCGGCGATTGGATACTTGGAGGCGAGGGGCTGGGAGGCGGGAATTCGTCGCGGGCTGTGTGGTTCAGCCCTGTGAAAGTTGCGAGGTGGAGCAGCCTGTGTACCCGTCAGCGGCAGCCGCGTACGGAGAGCAGCAGCCTAGAGAGGGAAGGAGAGGATTAAGGCTAGCGCCCTTTCTTCTGTACTCGGGCTCTACATTATTTGCTCTCGGAAACCAGTTTCTTTTTCCCCGTGAGTCAGCGCCCAGGCGGTGTTGCTTCCAGTTTCACCCAGGCAAGTCGGAGGGAGGCCGGCGGTCAGGAAGGCGCGCGGCCAGCGCAGGCCCCCGCTGAGCCCGGCCGCTCGGGCCCCGGTATACCCGGGCTGTGGGAGGCGGGCGTCGGGGGCGGGGAGCCCAGGAGGAGGGAGCCGCTCCTGCCTTCCCGCCCGCGCTTGCCCTGGGCGGAGGGCAGCGGGAGGAGGCGGCTCGGTTCCTCGGTTCCTAGGTCGGTAGCGGAAAGTGCCAGATTGAGACGAAAGTCGCCGATGCTGCGGCGTAGGATGAATTGATTCCTGGGTGGTATCTGAGGAGGTCAGCCTTGAGTTCTTGATTCAGATCAAGAGGTTAGAGTCCAGCAAATCCCGTTCTTACGGATAGAATCACTTTTAGAACAGAAAATACCATAGAAGAGTTTTTGTTTTTTCTCGGCGGTCCTGGGGATTGAACCCAGGGTCTTGGTACATGCGTACATCTCAGCCCCAGAATAGCGGTTCTTCTTTTGGAATACAAAAACTGTGGCTAAGGTTATTTATTGGCTTCATAATCTGTTGGATTGCTATTTTAACCATCTCCATCCTCAGGTTTTTATCATTTTTTCCATTACTACAAAAATTCCTCAGTTGATAAGTGTATATCATCTCCTCCCTTTGTGGTTTCCATGGGATATATTTATGTGAAGAGAAATCTATGGACTTTCCCTTCAGAAAAATTCAGTCATGTACACAAGTTTCCACATACGATTTTAATACATCACAGTTTCTGAATTACATCTGTGGATTCTAGTGAGGATTAAAGTACATCACTTCTCTGTCAGATATTAGGCACATTCTGTTCTGGTTTATTTTCATAAAAAACCCCATCAGCTAAGTAGTATTATCTCAGTTCCATAGATGAAGAAACAAGGACTGAGAGGTTAAGTGATTTACACTGTGAATTTTGAACTTGGATTTGTCTTACTTCAACACCCATCTTCTTTACGTTATACTCCACTGACCATTATTTAAGAATTACTGAGCACCCACTATGTCCCAAAGCAGGTTCTCCCTTATGGCAGGCTTTAAATTAGGAATTATTACAGAGGAGGATCTTAGACCAAAGAAGTGAAAAGACATGTCAAGAGAACCTTTCAAAACCTGCTGACTCCTGGTTCACAACTTTTTGGGAGACAGGAAGGCACAGACTAGCAGAGAGTTGCCTTAAAAACCTATTTGTTTCTGTAGCTTGATCATATCTGATCTAAGTTCTTACAAGAGTTCACCGAGAACCTGGCATGTACTGTATCATATGTGCACATTATTTCATTTAATCTTTACAACAATCCTATGGAGTAGCTATTGTTACTATCCTTATTTTCTGGATGAGGACACTGAAGTCTAGAAAAGTTAACTTGCCCAAAGTTATACAACAAATCATGGCAGAATAGGGATGCAAATCCAGATTTGTCAGACTGCAAGACATGCTCTTCACCACTGTGGTCTAATTATAGGACTAGGGAGTTCTTTTGCTTCCATTTGTTATGTTTATTCCAGTTTTTATTTCCAGATTTCTGTCTTACTGTTGAGTGGTTTTCTTTGAATGACACTGTTTCGATATTGTTTTTAATTTGTATTGCAATTAGGAATCTGAAGTAAACAAGAAAGCAGGATGTCATCATTGTGTTCTGAATACACAATTGGTGGGGTGAAGATTAACTTTCCTTGTAAAGCTTACCCATCACAGCTTGCTATGATGAATTCAGTAAGTATTTTTTCAGCAATTAAATCTTTGAGATACAGAAACCTATGACCCATAACATATATTGAATATGTGACTGTATTAATATTCTCAGTAAATGGATTGAGAATATTTGCAAGGTTTATTTGGAAGAATAAACTTTGGGAAACTTAATATTGATTACTATTAACTGTATATGTCTATGGTTAGAATGCAAAAAAGATTCAAGAAATATTTTCAGCTCATTTGGAACTTCTATTTCTTTTAACGAATTACTGCTTTCTGCAAAGTATTTTCTATCTTTTACAGAGCACTCTATTTCTCACTATTAATTTTAAGTGTAATTATCCCTAAGTACCTGTATGGAATTAATTCCAGGAACTCACCTTGGGTATCAAAATCTCCAGATGTCCCCAAATCCGTTACATAAAACAGTGCACAGTACAGACAAAATTTTTTCTTTCTTTTTTTTTTTTTTTGAGTATTATTGATTTGTGGTTGGTTTAATCCATGAGTGCAGACTCTGTGGACATAGTCATTATATTTGAATCATAGAGAAAATTAATATAAAAATTTGAGTAAAGCAAGCTTCCAGTTTGTTATTTTTTAATATTTTGCCAAGTTTACTTCATATCACATTAGTATCCTGAATTAGTAATTTTTCTTTCTCAGTATGTTTTTATACTTTTACTACACATGTATTCATAAACAATATAGAGTATTATTTTACATATATTTAAGCTTTGTGAAGTGAGCTGGGCATAGTGGTACATGCCTATTATTTCAGTAACTTGGGAGAGTGAGGCAGGAGGATTACAAGTTTGAGGCCAGTCTAAGCAACTTAGACTCTTATCTCAAAATAGCAAAATAAAAGTGGCTGCGGATATACCTCAGAAGTAGAGTGCTTGCCAAATACGTATTGTGGTAGGCTTTGGGCTCAGTCCTGAACACTGCATTCAGTAAGTAGTAGCAACAATAACAAAAACTTTATGCAGTGGTATGAGATGATGCCTGTCTGCAGAACTTGTTTCTTTTTGTAGTATGGGAATCCATCCCAGGGCCTCATGCATGCTAGGCAAGTTGTCTACCACTGAGCTACACTTCCAGGCCAGACTATTTCTTCTCCTTCTCTTCTTCTCCTTCCTCTTCTTCTTCCCCTTCCTCCTCTTCCTTTTCCTCTTCTCTTTTTTTTTGCAGTACTGAGGATCGAACTCAGGGCCTTGTGCTTGCAAGGCAGGCAAGGTGCCACTGAGCTAAATCCTCGGCTGCTCTTCTTCCCCCCCGCCCCCCTCCACCTGATTATTTCAGTTGCAGCATAGTATGAATACAAGAATTTTATCTGTTCTTTTTTTATTGTTAGCCATTTAGCTTGCTTACATTCTTTTGTAATTATCAAACTATGCTGTTAAGAACGAACTTATACATTTTTTCCTTGTGTTCATGTAGGGAATAAAATATACATATAGTTGGATTTGTTTGAAGGTAGGCATCTTCAGCTTTACCACAAATTATTGATTGCTTTCCCTATTCTTTTTCTTTTGCAGTTTTGGGGATTGTACTCAAGGAGTACTGAGTTACATCCCCAGGCCTTTTTTAGTTTATTTTATTTATTTTGAGATAAGGTCTTACCAAGTTGCCCAGGCTGGCCTTGAATTTGCCGTCTTCCCACCTCAGCCTCCTAAATAGCTGGGATTACAGGCATGCACCACTGTAGCTGGCAATGCATTCCAGTTTGACAGAAATGATTGAATAAGTGATGTCCAAATTGCATTTTTAATTTTGTCTCTTGTGCCTCATAGGCTTGGAAGTCCAACATATTCTTAGGGCAAAGTGTAAAGGAAAAAATTCTAGATTTAACTAAATGGTAGTTCTTCATTGTGCTGTTGCTCTGTTTCCATGAGTGCAGCCTCACTTCTCCTTGGTATGTTGTTTATACTTCTTTTTTTATTTTGGTACCGGGGATCCAACTCAGGTCCTTATGCTTGCGCAACAGGTGGCGAAACCACTGAGCTAAATCCCTGGCTTGTTTGTACTTCTGATGGAAAGAGACTTAACAAGGTAAAATGTTTATTGATTTTCTATTAAATTGGTTTCTTTATCCATAGATTGTCAGAGGATTGAACAGTAGGCAGCATTGTTTGTTGGAGAGCCCTACTGGAAGTGGAAAAAGCTTAGCCTTACTTTGTTCTGCTTTAGCATGGCAACAGTCTCTTAGTGGTAAGTAGTAGCTTGATATTTTCAGATTGCTTGTTAGGATCTGAAATAATATAATAAAGTACTTTTTATGAGTGGTTCAACCATATTCTACCAAATTCAAATATTCTCTTTTAAGATTTTTTTATGTCATGTATTTCCAAAAGAGTTTCAATACAGCAAAATGTTTAACTCATCCTAAAACAATACTAACATAATTTAGTCTTTTATTTAATGATTCAGAAGGTATTTTGAGCGTTTTGGATGCTAAATGACAATAATTAGATGATAATTTGTATGGAAAAAATGCAAGCAAACTGAGTGTGGTGGCACACGCCTGTAATTTCAGCACTTGGGAGGCTGAGGCAGGAGAAGTACCACGAGTTTGAGGCCAGCCTGGACTACAGTTTGAGTTCAAGGCCAGCCTGAGCTACATAGTGAGATCCTGTCTCCAAAAAAACAAAATACAAGTGATACTAGGTATGGTGGCACATGCCTGTAATCCCAGCAGCATGAGAAGCTGAGGCAGAAGGATGGCAAGTTTAAAGTCAGCCTGGGCAATGTAGCAAGACCCTGTCTCAGAATTTTAGAAAAGGGCCAGTGATAATCTCAATATGAGGGCCCTGGGTTCAATCCCCAGTATCAGAAAAGAAAAAAAAAAGCAAAAGATGAGGCTATCATGATACTGAATAATATACGTACTAACTGCTGATTTTTTTTTTTTTTTTTTGATACCGGGGATCAAACTCGGGTCCGTGCGCTTGCGAGACAGGCGGCAGAACCACTGAACCAAATCCCTGGCCCATAACTGCTGATTTTTAAAAAGTAAATCCTTCAATATATTTGTTTATTTGGCCTTTCCTTATAAAAATATGGAATGTATAGGAAAGAAAATGTTTTAGTTGATCTTTCTACTTTTTTGGATGCCAGATAAAGAGCTTATTGTAATATTGTTTATATGAACTCATATTATTTCCCATTACTTTTACTTTATTTGCTAACAAGTGCCATTTAATATTTACACTTATGAAAGACAAATCTGTAGATGCCTTAGCCCTAAAGTATGAGGAGAATTTGAAGTTAACCACTGTAATATAGTATATACAGAATCATCTTTAAGTGGAAATGTTGGTATTATTAATAAGAATGTGTTAAACATAATAAATATTTTATAGGCTTTTTATTGTCCATTTTTATTTTTATTTTTGTTTGGGTGTGGGGGATCGAACTCAGGACCTTGCACTTGTGAGGCAACTGGCGGTACCACTGAGCTAAATCCCCCGGCCCTATCCATTTTGATTTTTACTAATGTTGGTCTTTGGGAAATTGAGATTAATTAAAAATTTACCAAAATTTTTTAATAACTTAAAATTTTAATAGCAGATATATGGAAAGTAAAATTAGTAGTATCTGTGTGGTACAAAGGAATAAATGTTGTCCATATTTTAAAAACGGAAATTATTCAGCTTTTATAATATATATGAATTGTGAATTTATATTCTGTGGGTATATGATACGGACACTGCATTCTGTGTATTTAATTGTCAAAATTACGTTTTGATAAATATTGATCTTAAAATGTGTTTTGATAGAATTTATACATCCTAGAATGTTTCTATTTAAAATAGTATAATATGGGAACTAATGTAACCCTTATGTATTTACATTATTATTTATGATATTGAACTTTCAAGTTCTTCATTTAGGGAACTAGTAATTGATAATATACCTTAGCTGCCTGCCTTGCAAGTGCAAGGTCCTGAGTTTGATCCCTGGTACCAAAAAAAGAAAAAAAAAAAATATATATATATACTTTAGGTCTTCCAGCTTGATTTTTTTTTTTTTTTTTTTGTGCAGGGGATCAAACTCGGGACCTTGCTCTTGTGAGGCAGGCACAGTGCCGCGGAGCTAAATCTCTACCCCCTCCAGCTTGATTTTTAAACGCATCTCTATATAAATGAGTATTTAAGTAGTTGTGCATGTATTGCATTAGTAATCTTTGCATCTCTTTTTTTAATTTTTTATTTTTTTGGTACTGGGGATTGAACTCGGGACCTTTCGGTTTCGAGGCAGGTGGCGGAACTACTGAGCTAAATCCCCTGCCCTTGCATTAGTAATCGTTTTTGGATTTTTTGTAGATTATACAGATTGATTATAACTTTTGTATAAATGTTTCTGGCATAATTGTTTCTCTCCTGTTCTTATTTGAAGCTATAGATAGGTTGACCATCTTGTCCCCATTGCCAGGGGTAAATCTTGCGTCCTAGGAAACATCTCAATCCTGTGTGAACTCAGGTGATTGTTCACCCTAGCTTCAGAGAAGGATTAATACTTATTTAGTTAGAGATATTGTAAATAGATACCTTTCCTTGTTTTTTTTCATTTTTAGGGAAGCCAGTGGATGAAGGCTTAAATAAAAAAGCTGAAGTACCATTGTCATGTTGTTGTACATGCCATTCAAGGAGCTCCACACATAGTGATGTGAACCAGGAGACTTCGCATCACTTTAGCAGTTCCGCTACACCACCATCTGAAAGGAGTGGCACTTCATCAGCTTGCCAAGGTAAATTATGTTTTTCATGGGTCTCTTAGTATCTGTAATTGCAACCTTAATTATTAGTGTTATGTGGTCTAATTTAGATGAATTTAGTTGACCTAATTTTTCTGTTGTTATTATTATTATTATTATTATTAGGCACTAGGGATTGAATCCAAGACTTTCATACTGAGTTACATCCCTAGCCCTTTTTAATTTTCTTCCTTTAAATTTTGAGACAGGGTCTTGCTAAGTTGGTAAGTAATTCCAATTTACAGTGTGCTGCTTGGAATTAATTAGTTGGTTTTGGTGCCAAGAATAGAACCCAGGGCCTTTTCACACCAGACTGTACCACCCCCTACAGCTGGAATATTTTTTTTTTCCCTGTGGTGATGGGAATTGAACCCAGGGACCTTTGCACTAAGTAAGCTACATTCCCAGCCCTTTAAAAAATTTTAAAATTTTGATGCATACTTATAATCCCAGCACTTGGAAGGCTGAGGCAGGAGGAGTGCCGTAAATTCAAAGCCAGCTAGTGCTATGTAGTGAGTTCAAGGCCAGCCTGAGCTACCTAGTGAGTCCCTGTCTCAAAAAAAAAAAAAAACCAAACAAAATTATTTCGGGAAGATACCCAGAAGGAGAATAGCTGGGTCAAATGGGACACTAATCCTAGTTTTTTGAGGACTCTCCACACTGATTTAAAACCATCATACCACAGTGATATATGTGCATCCACATTTATAGCAGCACAGTTTGTAATAGCTAAGTCTTGGAAACAACCCAAATGCCCATCAACCAATGAATGGATAAAAAAAGATTTTTTTTTTTAATACAATGGAGTACTAAGCCATAAAGAAGGATAAACTTGAGACATTTCTAGGTAAACGGATGCACCTTGAGACCATACTCTTAAGTAAAATAAATTGGACACGTGTGTAAATATTGCATTGTCTCTCTGGTGTGAAACTGAAAGTGTAAATAAGGACCAAAATGTATAATAGATA